ATTTGCTTTTGTCAAATGCGTTTGGTTTCCTCGGTTTTTCTCGTTCGACGTGCACAACATGCCCCCCCCCCGCCTTCCTCTGCCCCTCCCTTCCTCCCCCTCCACGGCAATTTTTTTTGCGGAGTCCGAGAAAGTGGTGAAAAGGACTTTGATGTTTTAATTCTGTGCTGACGAGGTTTGTAGGTAGAACTTTATTGATGGCCCAACGTTTCGACCAGATGTCGTCCCTACAAACCTTGGCACTGAACCTTGGCCCCGGCACTGAAGTAAAACATCGAATTTACGTCAATGCCGAGGTTATACAAAAGAGAAGTTAGACACTTCTGTAGAAAGGAGAACTTAGGGCGATGATAGGTGGTATGGGATAGGGAAGGAGTATCGTCCTAGAGGGGAAGGTCATAAGAAGGGTCGTATTCTGCAACATTTTTCCGTTTTAGACCAGTTGTCGAAAAAAGTGGAAAACAGGCCGGCGCAGCTCCAAACTCAGCCCCTTCCCTCTGGCAAGCTCTGACACCTGTAGCCTGACACTTACACTCCTTATCCCTGAGACAGAATGGCACTTGAACATGGTGCAGAATGGGTTACTCGTGAGATATTTCAGTTTGAAACAACCACCATCTTGTTCAGTGTTGGACAGAGACATGACCACAATTGTGTCAAAATGAAAATATCTCTCCGAAAGCACAGCCACCACCACGTTTAGTTGAAGTACGCAGCCACGCCTACCACATCTCAGGGATTTCGAATTCACAATGGTGCATTTGGTTCTTTCTGGGTTTCCTCATGTGCAGGATATCACCAGTATCACCTGTGCTCCCGTTAATCATTGAGTTCCTCGAGCGGGTGCCAGTAACGTCTGCATTCGTCCCTGCAACGTGCTGCAACGTGCTGGAGTTGCCCAACTGCTTCCCTCTGCTTGAGGGACACGATGAACTTCATACCATTCGTTCAGAGCTTTCACGAAGAAGTCTGACCATCGCGTAGGCGGTCGTCCAGGTGTTCGCTTGACATCCCGTGGAATCCAGTCGGTAGTCGCTCTGGTCCAGCCCCAGCCGATCTTTGGAACCTTGGCAAATGCGGCCGCATTCCAATCTGCAATCGTCGA